ATTTTTCATTTTGAGACAGGGTCTCGCTAAGTTGCTTAGGACCTTGCTAAGTTGCTGAGACTGGCTTTGAACTTGCGATTCTCCTACCTCAGCCTCCTGAGCTGAGATTATAGGCATGCGCCACTGCTCCCAATGTTGTTGTTTTTTAACTGCATTTCTCAGGTCAGTAGAGTCTAAGCAAGGCTGTTTTCTGTTTCTTTTATGTGAGTTTTCTGAGTTTCCCAATTCTTAGCTGCGGCTGCCCTTCCCAACCTTGTCCCCTTCCACCTGTCTGAAGGTATCCATGTGAAGAAGTCCACTTGAGTCCTCCAGCATCACTCCCCCCAGGAAAGGAAAGGGCATTGGGGGGTGGGCGTGGCTGTGTTCTTTTACATTAGCCGTCCTGGTAGCCTGATCCTAGTCCAGGTACTAAAGGTTGAATGTGAACACTGGCTATCACATCTGTTCTTGTCTTGGGAAGTAGACATTGTCCTTTAGGACGTACAACCTGTAAAGACAGTTTTTCTGTCTTTAAAATGGGAATAAAAATAGCCCCCCTGTCACAGAGCGGTTATCAGGATTGAGGTGGGGTTGAGCCCACAGGCCTTCCCACAGTGCCTGACTCAGGAAAGCCATGGCTGCAGTTACGAGGCCTTAACTTTAAAAAGCTTTGGGAAATAAAGTCACAGAAGAGGAAATGAAGTCATCCATAACCTCCTCTCCTAGAAATTGCCATCGTAAAAATTTTGATAGAAATACCTCACGTTTTTATATGCATACCCATATATGCTTCATCCACTTAGCATCTGATCATTTTCCCATGCCCATAAACAATTTCTTTGAAGAAATCATTTTTTATAACAACACATGGAGCTCTGTACACTATAACTTATTTAGTCTCTGTTTTTGCCTGATTATTTCCATCTTTTTTTTTCCTGTTGTGAATAATCCTATATCTCCAAATAAGGTTGTTTCCTTGGGATAAACTCCTAGGATGGAGAAATCGCTGAGTCAAAGGGCTTGTGCACCTTCGAGGCTCCTGCCGTCCTGCGGGGGGTGCCCGTGGGAAGGCAGTATGTGCTACATCTCCCTGGGACGGGGCAGGAGCACCCAGAGTTTCCAGACCAGTGGTCTCTGGGGATACCGTGTGGGTTTTTCATGGAGGCAACAGTTTCTCGCTGTCTCTATTCTCTTTGTTTTTTCTTTCCTTCCCTTTGTTTCCCTTCTTGGTTTTCTGCCAAAGAGCCCCTTGTGAAAGGACCGCCTAATTAACCCTGTGCTAATTAACAATTTAAAATTACACAGTGCGACTGTTCATGTTTAATTCTCTGGGAGCCGGAGCAACAGCAGGGGCCCCCTCCCCTCCCTCATAACCGCCTCCCCTCGCCAGCCTCTGTAACTGTTGCTTTCTCCCCTTTTCTAGTCTTCTCCATAACTGTCTCCTTCTGGAAATGCCATAGAACTGTCACAGCACATCTTTTTAGCTCAGGGAAGGGAGAGGGACGCCTTGATTAACAGGGGCCCACGGGGCACATGGTATAGTTTTATCCTTCTATGAGCGCAGTCTTTGAAAAGTAGAAGTGAATACCTGCAAAGATGCGGTGGGCTTTACCGGGGGAACTGTATACACAGGGAGATGGATAAGGGGTGGGGTGTTCTTGATGAAGGTGTCAGAACTTGTCTTCTGAAGTTTCCAGTGGCAGATTTAAAGGCTCAGAAGGCAGGGGGATGGGGAGAGGGAGAGAGAGGGACGAGGGCGCACATGTGTGCATATGTACGGATACTATCAAGATCCTCATGTGTCTTCTCTTGAGCATTGTCATTGGAGAGATGCGCTTTATTAAAATCCAACTGAATTCTTAAACAATGGTAATGAGTATAACACTGGGGGTTGCGAGAGCCCCCCTGGACATTTAAAGGGAAGTTGGGGTGTGTTCAGTGGAAGGAGAAGCAGGCTGCAGGAAGGGTTGAGGACTCGTGTGTGAGCCAGGGATGGGGACAGGGCACACAGCCTGGGGGCCTGAGGAGAGAGGCGCGTGAACTCTGGCTGGCGGGGCTGCCTGTGAAAGCGCGGGGACCCTCTTGGTTCCCAGGCTGCCCTCTGTAACTGAAGATCATTGATTTTACGGGAAACCGTGTTTACAGACAGAGTGCTGATCGACCTGCCGAGTTGACTTCTGCCTCCTTAAGTAAGAACTACCTTTTTCTTATTGACTGGCTGATAAACAGCAAGCTCGGCGGCCGGCTGGGTGGGAGAGTGGTGGATGCCCCGAGGTCCTTGAGCTGCAGGACTGGGCAGGATGAAGAGATTTCTTCATGTCAGGGCTCCTGTCCGCCTTGTCCATTCCTATCCCTGCACCTCCCAGGGACTGGGTGGTAGGGCTAAGGCTGCCCTTCACTGGTTACCTGGCAGTACAGGTGCCAAGCACAGCTGAGCCAGCCACCTGACGAAGATGTTGTGAGGCAGAGTCTCCAAGTTTGATTCACATTTCCTAGGAATGATGTAAAAAAAAATTGCAGATTCTAATGGTAGGGGTTGCTGGGAGCTGAGAGTCTGCATTTCCCAAGCTCCCTATCGAGGACGGGGCTACTAGACCATGAGCCACACTTGACTCTTTAGCAAGGTTGCCAAGGGTTCTGCTCCTCATGGCCACCAGGCGTGGAAAGGAAGCCCAGAGCAAGCAGCATGGATCCAGAAATGAAATCCTCCTTTCCACCTGTATCTCAGTGGGCCATCGCCCCTGTGAATGAGCAGCCCTAGTGTCACCACCACAGGGTCATGTCTTTCAGAAGTTGTCATAATGTCATCAGGTCTTGACACTTTCTACTTTGTAATAAAAAACAAACTAAGGGCATTTTTTTTTTAAGTCTCAGCTCCTTAGCTGGATAGTTTATGGAAGAGGAGAAGGAAGAGAGCACAGCAAGAAAAGCCCACCAATTAATTGGTAAACGCTTGCAGGTTTCTCTGGCCCAGCCCAGGCTGGAGAGGAGATTGGCTTTGCTGTCGATAAACAAGTCCCTGGTGCAGCATCAAAGCTGTTCTCCTTTATCAATCGTGGCCTCCCCTTCCCGCATGTTCCTGTAACTTACCAAGCATTTATGACATTGATTTTACAATTGGGCTGTTAACCCTCCCGCCCCTTCAGGCCTGCCAACCTTTTTGGCCTGAGCTGTCAATCAGATGTTGTCCAGCCAATCAGGAGCATCCCTAAGAAGAGCCTCTCTGGATTCTCACCTGTATCCCAGCTAAGCCTTGAGAGAAGTCCCGTTGCATTTGCCATTGGATTTGGTTTAGTGTAGTCACCTCTGTTTCAAACGAACATGTCTTTTCCAAGGCTTGCAGAACTTTGTTGACATGGAGTCTGACATTATAAATTGAAAAGTGAGTGTTTGTGCATGTGTGTTTTAAGTAAATCGTGGCACATTCTTCCAAAAAGTTATTTCTCCTGAGACTTCTAGTAAATATGACTTCTCCATCTTTTCCTGAGGGGGAGCTGTTGGCTCACTGTGCAGTCAAGAATCATGAAAAAAAGAATGAAAAGATGGGGATTGCAGAGGGTGGAGGGAGACTAAGCAGCTACAGCCTTCATCTGCTGATGAAGATGAGATGAGATGAATGAGATGGTGGGTGGAGACGTGGCCAAGTGTCCTCCGAGGACGAGGAGCAGGGGAAGATGGCCTGGGATCTGTGGGCAAAAGATCAGGCTGTGCAAGGTGCTAAGTTGCTTGTAGCAGTATCTCAACAGAAGTGCCCCAGTGATGAAGTTGCCACAGGAGCCTGGTGGCTGGTGATCTGTTGCCTCCTTCCCCAGGGACACAAAGGTCTCAAAGGGCAAGTTCAGATCAGTGGCACTCGGAAGCGGAAAAGCCCTAGGGCTGCAAGACAGCTGCTTGGGTAGCAACTAATATCCTAAAAGGCAGGTGTGGAACTGGGGCTTGCTGAGCCCAGCTGCTGTCTGGACTTGGGCTAAGATCAAGATAGCAAAAGCCACCAAGCACACTGTCAGTGGGCTTCTGCAGACAGGATGAAGTAGAACTTTCTGAGGGGGAGTTGCCAAATCAAGAATCTGGCTGGTTCTCATTGGAAATATCAAACTCATGCTTTGCATCTACATATTCTTAGTCTAAAACCAACCAAGTCCAGGGGGGCTCTCAAGTTTGGGGTGGAACAGATGGGAATTTGGGGACCTGTCTTCTGCTTGGTGGTCAGAGTTGGCACTGGGCTTGTTTGCAGATTTAGCCCTTCTGTTTTACTGGTTAGGGAATGGGACTGATGTTTATGAGAGTCCTGCAGAGGAGGGATGCAGCCACTAGTCTTCCTGGGGACATTGTGGGGGTGTGTCCAAGCCTGTAGGCTGGCTCTCTGAACCTTGTAGTTTTCAGAGATCTTCTTTGCCAAAGTAGATGCATGGTCAGTAAAAGCAGCAGCAGGGATTTCTCTACATCAGCCAACTTGTCCTAGTTGTCCATCCTCTTTCTGAGGATGCTAAACATTCCTCCACTTTGTCCCTACCTGGTGTCCCCCTGTCCAACCCGCAGTGCAGTCAGTCCTGGATGACTGTGTGTGGGTCATCTGTATATGGGAGGCCCTGGATTCTGTGACCTCTTGTGGGGGCTGGAGAGGTAACAGCCCTCCTGCACTGTGGCTCATGGCCGGCCCTGACTTGAAGCTGTGCTGGCAAACTGTGGACATTTGAACTGGTCTCCAGGGGTAGAGCAGAGGGCCACCTGAAGTCAAAGACTTGTGCTCCTGACCCCTTTTCTCCGTGCCCCTCCCCTTGCTTGGACCCGGCGGTGATGCCCACAGGTGCTGCTCGCCCTCTGCGTGCTGGCCTGCGTGGGGCGAGGTCCCCAGGCCTGCCTTGTGCCCGGCTGGCCCTGGGCTCTGTGTTGTGGGTGTGGACAGAAGCCTCTTAGAGCGCTCCGTGTGCGCGGGACCTTAGCCTCGGCCCTCCTAACCTCTTTCCTTTCTCTCTCTCTTTCCCTTCTCTCCCTCCTCCCCCCTTGCCTCCGCCCTTCAGGTCCGATCCGTACTGGGTGCAATGAAAGCTCCACGCAGGCCTTACCATGGAAGGCTGTGACTCGCCCGTCGTCTCGGGGAAGGACAATGGGTGCGGTATCCCTCAGCACCGGCAATGGACTGAACTCAACAGCACCCACCTCCCCGACAAACCCAGTAGCATGGAGCAGCCCACAGGCGAGAGCCACGGGCCCCTGGACGGCCTGAGGGCCCCCTTCAATGAGCGCCTCGCGGAGAGCAGCGCCTCGGCCGGGGCCCCCGCCGAGCCCGCCAGCAAGGAGGTGAGCTGCAACGAGTGCGCCGCCTCCTTCGCCAGCCTGCAGACCTACATGGAGCACCACTGCCCCGGCGCGCGCCCGCCGCCGCCCCTGAGAGAGGAGAGCGCCAGCGACACCAGCGAGGAGGGCGACGAGGAGAGCGACGTGGAGAACCTGGCCGGGGAGATCGTCTACCAGCCCGACGGCTCCGCGTACATCGTGGAGAGCCTGAGCCAGCTGACCCAGGGCGGGGGCGCGTGCGGCAGCGGCAGCGGGCCTGTCCCCTCGCTCTTCCTGAACTCTCTCCCCGGGGCGGGGGGCAAGCAAGGGGACCCTTCGTGTGCTGCACCCGTGTACCCGCAGATCATCAACACTTTCCACATAGCCTCATCCTTCGGGAAATGGTTTGAGGGCTCAGACCAGGCTTTCCCGAATACCTCAGCCCTGGCGGGGCTCAGCCCCGTCCTGCACAGCTTCCGCGTTTTTGACGTGCGACACAAAAGCAACAAGGATTACCTGAACAGCGACGGTTCTGCCAAAAGCTCCTGCGTATCCAAAGATGTTCCCAACAATGTGGACCTGTCCAAATTCGATGGCTTTGTGCTCTACGGCAAGAGGAAGCCCATCCTGATGTGTTTCTTGTGCAAACTCTCCTTCGGGTACGTCCGTTCATTTGTGACCCACGCGGTGCACGACCATCGAATGACCCTGAGTGAAGACGAGCGGAAAATTCTTAGCAATAAGAACATCTCCGCTATCATCCAAGGGATCGGCAAAGACAAGGAACCCCTTGTAAGTTTTCTGGAACCAAAAAACAAAAACTTTCAACACCCTTTAGTTTCCACAGCTAACCTCATAGGCCCCGGACATAGTTTTTATGGTAAATTTAGTGGCATTCGAATGGAAGGGGAGGAGGCTCTCCCAGCCGGCTCTGCCACTGGCCCTGAGCAGCCCCAGGCTGGTCTCTTGACCCCCAGCACCCTCTTGAACCTTGGCGGGCTCACCAGCTCGGTCCTGAAGACCCCCATTACCTCAGTCCCCCTGGGGCCTCTGGCTTCCAGTCCTACCAAATCCTCAGAGGGCAAGGACTCTGGGGCAGCTGAAGGAGAGAAGCAAGAAGTGGGCGACCCCGATTGCTTCTCCGAGAAAGCAGAGCCAGCCGAGGAGGAGGAGGCGGAAGAGGAAGAGGAAGAAGAAGAGGCGGAGGAGGAGGAAGAGGAGGAGGAGGAGGAGGAAGAAGACGAGGAAGACGAGGGTTGCAAAGGACTCTTTCCAAGTGAGTTGGACAATGAGCTGGAGGACAGGCCCCCCGAGGAGCCCGGGGCCGCGGCAGGTGGTAGCAGCAAAAAGGACCTTGCTCTCTCAAACCAAAGCATTTCTAACTCCCCCTTAATGCCTAATGTGCTCCAGACCCTGTCGAGGGGCACAGCTTCTACTAGTTCTAATTCCGCTTCTTCCTTTGTTGTCTTTGATGGTGCGAACAGGAGGAATCGTTTAAGCTTTAACAGTGAGGGCGTCAGGGCCAATGTGGCAGAGGGCGGCAGGAGGCTGGACTTCGCTGACGAAAGTGCCAATAAAGACAATGCCACAGCACCAGAACCAAATGAAAGCACAGAGGGCGACGATGGGGGCTTTGTCCCCCATCACCAGCACGCTGGCTCCCTCTGCGAGCTGGGGGTTGGGGAGTGCCCCTCGGGGAGTGGCGTGGAGTGCCCCAAATGCGACACGGTCCTGGGCTCCTCCCGCTCGCTGGGCGGCCACATGACCATGATGCATTCTCGTAACTCGTGTAAGACACTCAAGTGCCCCAAGTGCAACTGGCACTATAAGTACCAGCAGACGCTGGAGGCACACATGAAGGAGAAGCACCCGGAGCCTGGGGGCTCCTGCGTCTACTGCAAAAGCGGGCAGCCCCACCCCCGGTTGGCACGAGGCGAGAGCTACACGTGTGGTTACAAGCCTTTCCGCTGCGAGGTGTGTAACTACTCCACAACGACCAAAGGCAACCTCAGTATTCACATGCAGTCCGACAAGCATCTCAACAACATGCAGAACCTGCAGAACGGAGGCGGGGAGCAGGTCTTCAGCCACACCGCTGGGGCGGCAGCGGCGGCGGCAGCGGCAGCAGCAGCAGCGGCCAACATCAGTAGCTCCTGCGGGGCCCCCTCGCCCACCAAACCAAAAACCAAACCCACGTGGCGGTGCGAGGTGTGCGATTACGAGACCAACGTGGCTAGGAACCTCCGCATTCACATGACCAGTGAGAAGCACATGCACAACATGATGCTGCTGCAGCAGAACATGACCCAGATCCAGCACAACCGCCACCTGGGCCTGGGCAGCCTGCCCTCGCCCGCAGAGGCCGAGCTGTACCAGTACTACCTGGCCCAGAACATGAACCTGCCCAACCTGAAGATGGACAGTGCCGCCTCTGACGCCCAGTTCATGATGAGTGGATTCCAGCTGGATCCCACCGGGCCCATGGCCGCCATGACGCCTGCTCTAGGTGAGGCTGACCACGTGTTTGTCTGTTTTAACGGTAGGCGGTTCATTGGGGAAAGTGGAGATGGGCTGAGGGAGTCCAGTTGGTTTTTACCTCCTTGAGTTGCCTTGTGTAAAGTGGAGTGTCTTCCAATCAAGTCTTTTTTCCTCAAGAATCCCCTGAACTCTGTGTACATATGGAAGATCTTATGCACTCAACAGAGCTGATTGTACTCTGGCTACATAGGGCCAGGATTAAAATTTAAGTGTTTCCTCTAGTTTTTGGCTTATGGTCAACCTTCCTTTCTATTCCCATTCTGTCCTTTCTCTCTTTCTCAATTTGAAAAATCGCCATAATCACTCAAAACTTTTGGGTTCCATTAAATATTTATTAAAACTTACAGGAAACTGTAGCTGGGACAATCATCTCAATAAGAGGAATAGGGACAATTATCTCAATAATTTAAATCGGGACAATCATCTCAATAAGAGAAATTTGAAACCGTAGCATACCTTATTCCAATAACCAAAGGCTGGTTTTTCTGCTGAACTGAGAGCTACCCAGAGATTTCTCAGAGTTCTCCTTGTGTTTATGAGGATCTTGATGAAAGAGACGTGTTCTTCTTTATTATTTTGGATGATGGTGATTAGTGTAGTTGGGAATTAATTGGGAATTAAATTGCCCTGGGGACATCCTAATGAGTGGTGTGATAGATGAAAAATGAATGAATTGTAAAGTTGTCTGTCAAAGAAAGCTAAGTTTTAATAGCAGTTGGGAGCTGGTTAATGGAGCCTTTTGCTGCCATGAGTGGTAGCTGTGCTTTAGAGGAGCTGGCCATAGTCACTAGTTTGTTAGTTGGCTGTTGCTGTAACAAATGCCAGAGATAGTCAGCTTATAAAGATAAAAGGTTTATCTTGGCTCACAGCTTTGAAAGCTTCAGTCCACAGTCAGTTGGCCTCACACTCTTTTGGGCCTGTGGTGAGGCAGTACATCAGGGCAAGCGTACAGGGCAAAGGAAGCTGCTTATCTCACGGTGGCCAGGAAGTGAGAGGAAGAGGGAGGCCAGGGTCCCCGCATCCTTTTCATGCGTACATGCCCATATGGGCCTGAAGACTAGGCCCCACCTCTTAAAGGTTCTACCACCCAGAAGTGCCACATACTGGGGAGAAAGTCTTTTGACACACGGGCCTTTGAGGGACGTTTATCCAAACCATAGCATCAAGTCATAACAATTGACTTAATATAGCTACAATAAAGGCCAAGGGTATATAGGATCTGGATGCCGAAAACTGGGTCTGTAGGTAGAAAGAGTCACCGCCACTTTTGTGAGAATCACTTTAGCAAGAAAGGTTACAGACTGGTTTGTGAAGACCAGCATGGTGGTTGAGCCACTCTCGCACCCACCTCTTATGCCTCAGTTGGGGGTCCTGCCTGATTTCCATTCCCTGACGGCTCACTAACCCTGTTGGGATCAGCAGCAATGGCCTGAGTTAAGAGGTACCGCATTACTGACGTGGGAATGAGTTGTTCTTGGCAGCAAAGTGTGAGCAAGTGCCTTCATTCGGAGATGGTTTAGGTGGATACCAGAGGGCGAGACCTCACTGGCCAGCGGGTCTCTGTTTGTCTGGTGTTTCAGTGATAATATTTTTTGCTGATGAATTATATTTGAAAGCATTCTCTTTGCTTTTCCTGCTTTGTATTCATTTCACTTTGAATTTGTGATATTTTAATCTTGTGTTCCATTTTGAAACATTAACCCATTGATCCTTTATGATCCTTTATTACTAAATGTCCTAAAGATGTCTTACCCACTGGTTAATCATAAAGACAGAGGGATCCGTCATGTTCTTTGTCTCCATGCACCGTAGAAGATGGGCTTCGATGCTCTTAAGGTTGTTTTGTTGTTGGTTTAAGCCACTTGGAATTGGAGTTTTCTAGTCTAGTGATTTAAAATCTGGGGAGGTAGATCTTTGGAGTCAAGCAGACATGATGTGGATGGAACAAAGACAGAAAATGGAGGGGTTCATATTGGGTCAAACTGAGATCTGTTTCATTACCTTTAAAATGGGTAATGAAGGCTTGAATTGTGAAGGAGAGAAACAATTTTGCTTTTCTACCAAGTACCCATGACTCTGCAGTCCATCACACATTATCCTGGGTATTGTGGTAGATACAGAAGAAACAGAGGAATGAATCCTGGTGTTCTAGACACCTGCAGGAGAGCCACACATAATTCCTGAAGAGAATAGAGCTCTTCCCTCCAGGGACTTTATCCAGCTCCGTTAAGAAGGGCCCTTGAGTTTCCAATGTCACCACTTGTCAGATGAGGTGAGTCTTTGGAGATATCCTGTGCCTTCCTTGGGCCACGAGGTCTGTTGAGATGATGACAGTCACAAAGCTTGAGTGGATGTGGGGGGTGACAGGAAGTGTCAAGAGGGCTGTAACTAACTGCGGCTGGATAACCTCAGTAGGAGAAACCAGCATATGCAAATGAAAAAAAGGTGTAACTTCCAGTTCTATCTGCAGCTCTACTGATTTTTTTATTCTCTTAGGCCATTTATAAAATAGCTCTAGGTGTTACTAGAGATCGCTGGGTTTTGCAGAAGGTGTAAAGAGGGGTTTTGTGAAATATTCTCCTGCTTACAGTTTTATTCTCATGGTTCCTTACTTTCCGGAGGACTTTAAAGTTAGCACCCCTTGTACTGGTCTCGTTCAGCCGCTCTTAGTAGACAGGGTATTAGACTTCAGACCATGTGAATGTCTTCCCAGACATCCCTTCAGCTGAAATTAGCACAGCACATTCCACTGAGGAAGGGGTCGCTTATGGGGCATCTGGGTGTTTCCTGAGTAGCCAGGCAGCCACAGAACACCTGCATGAGGCTCTGCTTCTGCTGTTCATCCTAGGATGTGTTTTGTAATCTACGGGCTTCTCTCAGGCTGTAGTTCCTGGTGGGCTCACGTGCCAGGGTGCAGATCCCCAGTGCTAAGGTTGGTTGTGTGGAAGGAGATGGTGCCTGCTCCTTTCCGAGACTATTCCAGCCGGGTTGAGAGTGAAGACCTGCTGAGATCCTACTCAGGAAGGGATCCCCTCCCAACTGGGTGAGGTTCCTCCATCTCATAAGTTCCTCCTAGCCTCATGAATTTGTGATTTGTGGGATCCTAAAGCCCTGGCGTTCCTCTGTGGTCTGTATGAGTTTGGGCTTGCCTGTCCCCGGCTCCTCTCACCACTCCTGTGTTCTGTGATTTGCATTTCATCTTAAGAGCCTGGGATGGGAACAGGGTCTTCTTTTCTCTGAGCGTTCTAAGGACTTCCAGTTTTCACTCAGGCATCCAGCAAGTGACAGCTGAATTTCTCTTCAGAGCAATATTGATGCACTGAGGTTAAATTTAAAAAGTGGGAAAGATTTGCTGCTTCAGGTGGTTGGCATCAGAAACAAATATATGTTTGCTCCTTGTCTTACCCTCTGGGCAGTTTCTGCTTTAACTAAACACCGTGCATGTTATGTGAATGTTGCCTGGCCTTTGTACCCATTAAGGGATAGAGTGGGCTTTTTTTTTTCTTTTTCTTTTTTTCCTTTTTCTCTCTTATCCTAAAAAGAATGTCATAGTTATGGCTCCTCTCATCAGGAGAGATGGCAAAAGAGACAGCAAGCAGGAGGCTTCCTAAGCCTTCCGGAATGCATGTGCGAAGATTTCTGTGGCTTGCTAAAATGTTCACAGACTTCAGATGCTTCCGGTCTTGCTTAGTGGAGCCTGCGCTGATCTTTTCACGTGAGGTACCCTGAGTTGTGTAAATAAGAAAATCGTTTGGGGAAAAAAAAAACATCTTTTCTTTGATGAACCACTAACTTGGATTCTAATCAGTCATTAAAAAAATAAATAAATAACCTCAGCCCAACCGCATGTAAAAGGTCAAGTTTAAATATCAGTTGGGGTTTGGGGGCAGACCTCATAGCTCAAGTGTGCTATTGTATTTAGGGGGAGAGGCAGAAAATAGAAGCCGATGCTCACCTCTCTGGGTGACTGTGTGCTTCTAAGCCCTGGAGGGCAGGCAGTTCTTTCTAGGTCTTTCTCTGATGTAAATAAGAGCTTCCTGTATTCACTTACCACCAGTAAAGGTGAGCTGATCCCAGGTGATGTGGGGCAGTGATGGACTGAGAAGGAACCTGGGTGGAGACGGAGGAAGGGGTCTTTCTCAGACCCCTTTCAGGGACTGGAGGCTGACCTTGGAGTTTTCACTGCCCATATCAACCTGCTTCCTGAACATGTATTATTTTGGCTCTTTTTGAGCCCATCTGGCACAGCAAATATTTGGGAATTGGTATAGTGGGCTAGGCACTGGGTAGAGGGTCAACGAGGATAAGGCTGCCCCCTGAAAGGGAGGCCAGCTGTTATGTGGCTCTGTATGTGATCATCCACGACTGACAAAGAGAACATGATGTGGCCTAGAGTAGACCTACGTTTTTCATGGTGCAAAAGCTCAGACAAGGGAGATTGCCTAGTGGTAAGGTGGGAGAGGGACTGGCAGCATTGTCTAACAGGTAGGATATTGACTGGAGGAGCTGGTGAAGCCTAGAGATCATTCCTGAAATCTTCACTTTAGAGCTGTGTCATGCAGTACGGGGGCCACTAGCCATGCGTGGCTTTCTACATTTACATTAGTTACAATTAGGAATTCTTTTCCTTGATGGCACTAGCCACTTTGCAAGTGTTCCTTAGCCACACAAGGCTGGTGACTGTGCCTGGGACCACGTGCTTATGAAACAGTTAGTTCCTTGATTGCAGAAAGTTACGTTAGAGCTGCTTTAGATAAATCCCAGGCCCCATTGGGATTGGACATAGGCTTGGGTCATGGGTTGCAGCTGTACTGTTTTCTAGTTCTAGAGGGTCTTATGTTATACCCACTGAATGACACTGATGTCTGACTTTCCCTGGATCCTGAGAGAGGGGATGAATGGGGGTAATTCAAGAGGTGATGGTGTGCAACTTCTCCTAGGTCCTCTTTTCTTAAGGAGGGAAAACATGAAGGCTTTCACAAACCCCACAGTGTTCATAGCAGAGAGCCAAACACAGCGAGTGGACTTTGTTTTCCAGTTAGTAGCACCTTGTAACACTTGCAATGTGACCTTGCTCTCCTTGGATCCCAGTTGAGGGTGGCGGAGGGCTGGGTGGTGCCTCTGCCGTGAGCCTGGCCTCTGACTCTCTTCCTCTGTCCTTCCCACAGTGGGCGGTGAGATCCCCCTAGACATGCGGCTCGGGGGTGGGCAGCTGGTGTCCGAGGAGCTGATGAACCTGGGCGAGAGCTTCATCCAGACCAACGACCCGTCGCTGAAGCTCTTCCAGTGCGCCGTCTGCAACAAATTCACGACGGACAACCTGGACATGCTGGGGCTGCACATGAACGTGGAGCGCAGCCTCTCGGAGGACGAGTGGAAGGCCGTGATGGGGGACTCGTACCAGTGCAAGCTCTGCCGCTACAACACCCAGCTCAAGGCCAACTTCCAGCTGCACTGCAAGACAGACAAGCACGTGCAGAAGTACCAGCTGGTGGCCCACATCAAGGAGGGTGGCAAGGCCAACGAGTGGAGGCTCAAGTGCGTGGCCATCGGCAACCCTGTGCACCTCAAGTGCAACGCCTGCGACTACTACACCAACAGCTTAGAGAAACTGCGGCTGCACACGGTCAACTCCAGGCACGAGGCCAGCCTGAAGTTGTACAAGGTAAGACCGGCTCCTAGGGGCCCAGGCGCTGCTACCTCATGGAGTGTGAATGCGTGGAGACGGGGGAGCACTGGAGAGGGATGGACAGTCCCCATCAGGGTTCCGCTGGCTGCTGCATGGCACCCTGGCCCTGGAAGGGGCAGAAGGTTCCTGTCTTGGGGTACCCCATTTTGGGGGGCAGGTCTAATTTACCGCAGCCCAGCACTATCGTGTGGTGCCCCTCCTGCCCCGGCTTTCTTGACGCTTGGCTCTTCGTGCCCACCCTCCGATTCTGTGATGGATCTTTCTCCTTCAGAAGGCAGGTTTCCTGTTTTCCATTCTTCTCCCTTCTCTGTTTTTCTTTTCTGCTGGACGTGTCCCCGGGATGGTTCCTTCATTTACTCATCCAGCCAACAGGCAGACACTGAGCCCCTTCTGCATACCAGAGGTGCATACCAGGTGCTCTGAGCATGCACTCACGTCAGCGTATGCAGTAGACTCACGCACAGTCGCTGCCTTCACAAAGCGTCTGTTCTTTTTCTGGGGCGGGTGGAGAAGACTGATGAACGCAGTGAGCAAGCCCTGCGGTAGGCTGGAAGGCTGCAGATATGCTGGGAAGAGCAGGGTCAGGGAAGGAGCCCTTGGCTCTTTATTTCCCCAGCTCCTGTATTTGATGTCCCTTTCTGTTCCTTCCCCTGATCACTGTCTTTTTCTAGGCTTCCCCTGGGCCTCTTGCCCCTCCGTCCTCTGACCCCTTCCCCTTTTCCTGTCCACCCCTCCTGTCTGACCTCTCCCCCATCCTCCTCTGGACTCCATGGTCGGTAACAGAGGAGGAGGGGCCCCGGATACTGTAAATAGTCCTTTCAGTTGCAGGCAGGATTGCTCCAGACGTTTCTATTGATTTTCACTGGACTTAAAACCTCACCTTTTTCTCTAATCATCCCATAATGGCTTTAGTATGAACAATCAGGTACGAATTGCCATAAATCTCCCCGGCCTGCTTCCACACGCCCTCCACTCCCTCACGCTCTCTTTCCATTTTCCTCACTTTTATTATCAGTCTCTCCTCTTTCCTTTCACACCATTGCTTACATCCGTGGGCCAAGGAGGGTCCCGTTTCTGCTGGGACCTGATCGAGTGTGACCCCCTCCTCTCTTCTACTGTCATTTTAAATGGAGACCCCCACGTAAGGAAGCCCTTCTCATCCTTTGTCCACACAGCTCTGTGCTGGGTCAGTGACTGATTCATCTTGCCGTCACCCATTCTCAGAGTGGTGGGAGCCCTTCATACCACAGACAAGCAACCATTTTAGGGAAAGGAGAAAAAAAAAAAAGCAAGAGTGAGGAAGTGTGGGTAGAATGTTCTGGAACTGTCTGCTAACTCCAGCTGTCATGTACTGGGAAGGTCTGGACAGCACGCAGCCAACTCCCGTATCTTCAGTGAGCAAGCGTCTCACTGAACTGGCTTAGTTTTATGCCACCATTGATAGAAAAGGCTCTTTGCAGTCAGTTGAAACTGGAGATCTGACGGGCCACAGGGTGGTGTGGACATGTTCGGGAAAAGCTTACGGAAAAAAACAGTGGAAAAAAAGAATTTCCAAAGGACCCAACTGAGTAAAATTTGTACAAAGGGCTCAGTGTGGCCATTGAAGATTGTCTACAACTTTGATGAAGGGTCCTTTAGAGGTGGCACGAAGCTGGCCTCTTCCCTCCAAGGGCAAAGATTGCCGTTTAGGTTTTAAAATGTGCACGGTGAATTCTGCACGTGGCCCGAGGTTTGACTAAAAGTCGGGCCCTCGGCTTTGTTTTTGAAGGACCTGGGAACCAGAGGACTTGCTAAGAATATCCCTTTTGTCCCCCAAACCATGTCCATGGATCATACCCAGAGAGTCAGGGTGAAGTGTTTCTGGGGTGGTTAGGAAGAAGCAGTCTGATTTTTCTGAGCATCCTCCTGGGCCTTATTAGTTTCTGTCTTGTTTTTTTAAGGTGGTAGATGCTCTTGCTCAAGATATGGGGAATGAATGGGTCGAGGGGTCTTAAGTGTTGGCATGTGGGTAGAGTCTGGGAACCAGCATCCAAAGGACAGATGCCAACATAGGGTGTCCAGCTGTACATCACCAGGGTGACCAGCCCCTCAGGCTCTGGGCAGCACTTCCTACACCAGGAGCCTAAGGTCCTCAGTGTGGCCGCATCAGTCATTGGGGAATGAATGTCCCTGCTTGCTGAGGCTCTGCTGGGGGTGCAGAGCTCTCCCACTCATTTCCTGGACTACACAGACAGCATTATCATTCCAGTGCTTGCCCTGAGCCCATTTATCCCTCAGTGTGACTAAGACAAACTTCTCTTGCCACTGAGGGGGCTCCCTCTCACTGTGTTTCGTCCATCCACGAATTCGGGGTGGGGTTTGGAGGTGCTTTGAGAGTCACTTTTCCTCTAGGCCCTGGTGTGGCCTGTAGTAAATGGAGATTGATTACATGTTATTTTTCCTCTTGCTAATGTAATCCATTAGCCCGGCACATGCATAATCAGTTTAGAGCCCAGTTAACTGGATGTAATCGAGTTCTTTACTGTCTGCTAGAGAAACCGCTCCAGATGCGCTGACCCCGGGAGGGCACCGGGCTTCTTCTCACTCACAGCCTGCCTTACTTGTCCCTGCTGGGCTTCCCACCCCACCCTATCCTGGCTTCCTGGCTAATTATTTATGATCGGCCAGGGAGATTCCCCCCCAAAGTTGCTTTTTTTGCTGCACCCACTAAAGTGGCCTCCCTGCGGGTCCCCTGCCCTCTCCCATTCAGCAGAGGCTTTATCCCCCTCCTCTTCCTCATATTGGAGGAAACAGAGCCGTGGCCTCAGGAGATAAAAGCAGTGACGTGGCTTTCTGATTTACCATTTGAACTCATACCAGTGCTGGGGTCATTGCCCTTGATGTCATAAATGCTGGTACCCGTGGAACATCTCGCATCTGTAAACCTAACATCTGAGATACTCCAAAGCATGAGAGTTTTTGAGCACCAACCTCATGCCACAGGTGGAAAACCCCACACCTGTCCTCTCATGTGATATATCACATGAGAACACAGGTGCACTAAAATACTGTACAAAATTCCCTTAAGGATATACGTAAAAGGTGTGTATGAAACATAAATGAATTTTTTTCTTTTAGATCTGGGCCCCATCCCTAAAATATATGCAAATATTATGTATATGCACCTATCTCCAAATCATCATGTATGTGAAAATATTCCAAAGTCGGAGAAAATCCCAAGTCCAGAAACACTTCTGGTTCCGGAGCATTTGATCCCAAATGCTGCTATGTCAGGACTGAACTTTCTGAAAGCCCGGGATGATTTCTAATCCAGACGCAAGAAAGGGTTGGGCTAATCGCGGAAGCCTGGCGATACTATCCCTGTTGCCTGGAATTGTCTAGTTTTGATTACTGTGTGATGCCAGTGTTTAAATGAGATTAATATTCACTGTATTCTTCTTTCCGCCTCCTAGAGGTAGAGCAGAGAGGGGGAAGGCTGGAGAGCCCAGGGCATCAGATGGAAGCTCTGTTTCATTCCTCTGGACCCCCAGGGGACTTCTGCAGAGTGTTCATGATGGAATTCCTTGGGCTTTTTTTTTTTTTTTTTTTTTTTTTGGTCTTAAACAGTGGCTGGCACTCATCCAGCCCCTCATGGTCATGTATCTGTGTCCTAACACTCACCATTGTGGGGTCCTCTGCCAGAGCCTGCAGCAGAGCTGGGAGGTTGGGCTCTTGGTCTCTGTGCTTAGTGACTCCGCTGGACTGGAAGTGTGCTGGGGAGAGGGTCCTTGGCTCTCCACCAGTGCCCAGCTCCAAGACCTCAGTTCCACCTTTTTCGGCTTTTACATGTGAATACCTCACTCCCCTCCCCACCCGCTTCATCCCCATGGAGATGTGGGGTGCCCCTGCTCATCCTAATGAGGACAGCGGCCAGTACTGACCTAAAGGCCTGTGGTGTGGGGCAGTTGCTGAGGCTCTCCCGTGCTTATTCTGCCTCCCAGTCCACGGGGCATGGATGGCGCCCTCTGCAATTTATAGTCTTTTCTTCTTGGGGGAGGACGGGGACAGGAGGGCAGTTGGGAACCCGTGCACACCTGCCGGCTCTCAGAGTCTAGTTTTCACTTGGCTGGCTGGCTTCACCTGAGGGTCCTGGGAGGGGCAATCCATCAACTTCAGCAGGTAGATTAAGACCCCCACCAGAATCCATTACCCAGACAGTTCCCAGCTGAGGCCCGGTGGTTTGGGCCAAGACCCAAGGTTTCGTGCTAATCTTAAATTACAACCAGAGAGGCTCGTCTACCATGGCTGTGTGTCTGGGCCGCCTGTGAGCTGCCCTGGGCCAGCAAGGCACGCAGGAGATGAGAAGCCAGTGTCTAAGCCACCTTTACTGGGCGGGAAGTAGGCCGTAGGGTTAAGGCATGTTGTAGACACACACACACACACACACACACACACACACACACACACACACACACACACACACACACACCCAGCAGCCGTGGGCTTCTACTCTTGACGTCCCCTGAGGAGTATGTGGTGTGGAAGGACACGAGAGACTCTCCATCGGGCTCTGTGTTCTCACTTCTTCCCCAGATGCACGAGAAACTCACTGGGGCTCACTCTCCCAGTAGAGCCAAAATACCACTGTGTGGCGGACGGACAAACCAGAGGACAGAAGCCATCAAATGATGCCTTGGTTTGAAATCTCCATTCTCCATCCCGTTCCTGGGTACAGTGGGAGAAGGGGGTGGGTCTTGAGGAGACAGCTGCACCCTCGAGGCCCACAGGCAGCCACTGGTGACCTTTGTCTTGCTCTGACAGCAAAGAGCACAGATCCTCCGGGGCACCCCCCCCACCACCACCACGTGGCCGCGTGTTCCCCGTGCTGGTCCCATGGTGATTCCAGAGCCAGTTCCCTCCACCCTTGTTCTGTCCTTAGGTGGACTTCTTTGTCGTTAAGTGAGCACCTCGGCTGCCTTCTCCTGCACCTTGGAGCC